AGATGACGCCAACTGATGCGACTGCCGAGAACGCGATCCGAACTAAATGGCACCAGGTTGCGCGAACTGAGAAGGAACGAACTGATGCACGAGCGGGGTAAGTGAGCTGACCTGCTAAGGTAGGGAGGATGAACAGCGAGACTAGGTCCCCGTTGTGACTCTGACGGTCAAGTTAGCAATAGCTATAGAGCAACAATATTGATTACTGTAGAAAAAGGCGTACCATGCTTTGTCTTGTGGTGGTGTATTAATAAGCTTCTGGGTAGTAGTTTCCTTATAAGATTAGGAGTCCGACTAGAAAGAGAAAGAGAGTCTTTCTAGGGTTTCATCTGCTAACTCCGAAAGGTTCGGGGGCTGCGGCTCACCAGGCCCATCCAGCTGGGAGGCGGCGGTCACGCGCGAATTGTCGTCCCTCCTGCCTAAACTGTTTGTCCGAACTGCCAGGTCATCATGCCCGAACTGACACGTGGCTCTTGTAGATTGGCCCCACTACACTCATCAAAGTCAGTAAATTTGTTTTTCTACAGATTTTCTTATCTTGGATATGGAAGACAATACTTGTATGGCTATAATATTTTGTAGGTCATTCTTGGCCACTGGAGGGGCGATAATTAATGTGCCAAAAGGGAAATTGACTTGGGTATCAGCAATGAAAAAGAGAAATTCAATGTTTTTCGTGCTTTGAAATATTCATTTTTTTGAGGAATCTCATGTTCAAGTTGATGCAATTGATCCCTCTAGTGCTAAAGCAATTGAAAAAGAATGTTTTAAAGATCCAGTGAATTCTATGATTGTATTAAATTTGGATGTTAAAGATGATAACATTGAAATAGTTAATTGTGCTACATATCCAATGGCGTCTCATTTGAATCATGATTTTTTTTTTCTATGAATCTCTCATCTTCTTTAAGTGCTGCAAAATTTGAGAAAGTACCAAAAGTGGTACAGGAGTGCAATTTTGATAAGGCCAATTATGATAGATCTCAAGATCACACAATGGAAACAGTGAAATTATTTGAGACATTTTATCCACCATGACTCCATCTAGTCTTGTCTAAATAAAGACATTAAACTTAGCACTTCTCGAGAGAAAACTCGACTTTTTTTTTAAATTTTTTTAAATATTTTTCTCTTGAATCTGGGATTGGTATTGGTGTTTATTCCTTTAGAATTTTATTGCTCTCTAGTCTAGGTTAATTGGTGGTGTGCTTAACTCCTATTGGTAGCATTGTCTTGTTTTTCTATTTTGTTGAGACAGCTTCTCAAGCTTCACTAGTACATCAGTTTATATCATAAGAGTTTTACTTTCACCTCTATCATTGCTTGTATTTCTTTATTTTTCTCCCCAACATTGAGAACAATATTGTCTCAAGTGTCTGGGAGGAATAAATAGGTGAAGTGACAATTTTGGTTAAAATTTTTAAAATTTGTGTTCTTATTCTCTATTCCCTAATATGCAATGGCGTGTAGTTGAAGTATTATTATTGTTAAGGTTTATCTATATAAATGTGTTAAATGTTCAATGGTGTTGCTTTGGAGCACTTCTTTGGCGAATATTTGGTATTTTGAGACTTTTTCAATTTTGGTTAACCTTTTTAGGTATTGTAAATATTTTTTTTAATATTTTTCTTGTAAATTTGGCCTAATTATTAATTTTACCTCTCCATATTATTAGGATATGATGCAAGCTTTTTGTGTTTTTGTGAATTTGAACATATGTGTTTGTTAATTTAATTATACTTTGCTATTTGTCGTTGTCTAGTAACTAGAGGTTCTTATTAAGTAAATGTCAAGTTTTGCACTAAACAGTAACGATAGCTATGAGTGTATAATTCCTAAACAGTGAAAGTTGAGTAAACAGGTTTCTTCATTTGGGAGATGTCGAAATTCGTGTCAAAAGGCTTGAACGATTTAGAATTAAGTACATTTCCCCTGTTAAAATGTGAAAACATTTTAAGTGCGGCGGAATTTTTTAAAAAACATAAGAAGAAAAATAAGAAAAATATGTGGATTATAATACTAGCTGCGAATCCATGTAGTAATTTGTTTGAGATTTTGTTTATTGGCTGGGCCATTTATGGAAAAATACTTATTAAGTATTTTATATATTTAGTTTAGTTAGCCAGAGTTGAATAAGTTGATGGTGTTAAAAGTTAACTGAAGTAATGACTCTTTAGTTTTCATTATTTAATTCTTGATGCTAGCTTGGAAGGGTTGCTTTGGCAATAATAGTATTGAAATATGGTCATTATTTGTATTTAATTGGTTTTTTTTCTCATGCTTAAGGACACGCACAGATTAAGTGATAGAACAATTGTTGGGCACCATTTGCGATGTTATTTGGTCATAATTTTGGTTACTTACTGTGCTAATTATTGAGATTTTGTTCATATTTGATATTTGTGTAAATTGCAGGCAGTTGGTGTTAAAAGTGGTATCTTGGGGAGAATTTTCGGAAGACTTTTCATCTCAGGGCATGCCCACGCCGGAAATTATAGAAGAATACCCAAAAGCCGGACCCGCGGGATTGGTAACAGCAGGGCCAATTAGGAAGTCAGGTCCATGTGAACCGCGGAGATGCATGGGATTAAAACCCCTAGACAAGTCTTGCTTCTTGACGTTTCTTTGCTTCTGCTGGCGGCGGCTGCTGGGAAGATATAAAAAGGAAAAGCTAGATTCACGTAAAATCAATAGATAGATTAGCTTGAGTTCATTTTTCCCATCTGTCAGACGTTGGAGACCTCTCTCTTGCTTTTAGCTTTGTACGATTTTGACTCCTTGATTTTTACTCGTGCTCTGGACAATTTTTCGTTAACTTTTGTTTTGTAATTTCGGCTCCAGTACGGAGACGAAACCCAAAAGGAGACAACGCCTTTTCGCCTACCTCCTCGTTATTTCTCCTTTTCGCAACCTTTTGGTAATTAATTGGATGATATCAACTAAATCACGCGAGATTGATATGATGAGGAGCGGCTAGGTTTCTTCTCTACCCAAAGGTCGATGCGGAGGCGCGGCCCATAATATCTGTGAGATCTAATCAAACTTTCATTATTTATTCCAATTCGTTACTGTTCGTGCGTTTTCCGAATTAATTGTGTATGGGTATTTTATTAATTGAGTATCAACGGTCGGATATTTAATTTAATTTAATAGCCTACTGTCACGTTAATTAAATTGAATCCGTAATTTTTCGTTTAGTTGACAATTGGTGACAACCACCATAATTGGTTTTGTGTTGGGGAACGTAAGATCTAATTTAAATAAACCCTCTTAGTGTGTTTATTGGTTAGGATTAGGTTTTTCTAGTTTTAATGCAACTGGATAATTAAATTCCTACGATCGTACCTGGGGTTATTTTCTGATTAGAGAAGCAGTCAACGGTCGTACCTTGGCTGTCGAAAATGTAAGGAAAAACTGGCTGTCAGAATTTGTTGATAGTTATAACCAACCTAGTGACGAATGAATGAAATATTTTTGCATCGACGATCATTTAATTGGACCGTTCTTGAAAAGTTGATCCTTTGGATAGAATTTTATTAATTGCTATTTTTAGTAAATTGTACTTGTTGAGTTAGCTTTTGAATTTTGTTTATTTTATTTTCATCTTCATTCTCTTAAATATCCCCCAATTTTGTTCTTTTGATTTGGAAAGAAACAACTGCTTATCCGTTCCCTGTGGAATTGACCCTACTTGCCATTATATGCAAATTTAATACCTTTATAGATAATTCTGATATATCGGATCAAACAAACTCTTCAGGAACAGGGTGAATCAAGCAACCCATTGCACACCTAGAGTCCCTGCTCCAGTACTTGGATTTGTTCTATAATTAATTGTGATGGTAATTAGGACTTTTTAGTAATTATTATTGCACAGACTAGACACCAGTCAATTTTTGGCGCCGTTGCCGGGGAACGGTGTTTTGGTTAATTTTGTTTCTTTTTAAGTTGTTCTCTTTGAATTTGTCTGGCATTTTTCTAGTTTATGTCTCGTTCTTCTCGTACAGGCGAATTGATTTTCGACCCAAAAGTAGAGAAGACTGCGCGCTAAACTAGGAAAGAGACTAGACAGCTCAGAAAGAAGCAATCTAGTACTGCATCTCAGAGATTGGATCCAGAGATTGAATCAACAGATTCAAGTGGTGATAATTCAAGTGATCCAGGTCAAGAGAACATCCCTATGGCGAATGCAAGAACACTAAAGGAGCTAGTTGCTCCGGAATTGCCTCAGCAGCCGTTGTGCATCACATTTCCAACTCTAGCTGAGAATAGCTCTTTCGAACAGAAGTCGGGATTAATTCACCTCTTACCCACGTTCTATGACCTCTCGGGTGAGGAACTCCATAAAAACATCCAAGAATTCGATGTGGTATGCTCCAGTATGAAGCCTCCAGGAATTACTGAGGAGCAGATCAATCTAAGAGCCTTTTCTTTCTCCCTCAAGGATGCAGCAAAGGATTGGTTGTACTACCTACCTGCAGGTAGTCTCACAACATGGGCCCAACTGAAAAAGAAATTTTTGGAAAAATTCTTCCCTGCATTCCGGGCTGCAAGTCTGAGAAAGGAGATATGTAGTATTAAGCAGTATTCTGGAGAATCCCTATATGACTATTGGGAGAGATTCAATAAGTTGTGTACTAGATGCCCACAGCATCAAATTAGTGAACAACTATTGATCCAATATTTCTATGAGGGATTACAGTCGTCTGATAGGAGTATCATTGATGCTGCAAGTGGGGGAGTACTGGCAAATAAGACACCGAGGGAAGCATGGCTGCTTATTGAAGTTGTGGCAGAAAATTCTCAGCAGTTTGGCTCTCGCGAGAGTAACCCTACTCGTAGGGTTAACGAGGTAGAGACGTCTTCCATTCAGTAGCAACTATCGGAACTAACATCTTTCGTTCGCCAATTAGCTGTGGGGAACGTGCATCAAGCAAAGGTCTGTGGAATTTGCACAAACGTGGGGCATTTCACTGACTCATGCCCTATTCTACAAGAGAATGGGGCTGAACAAGTTAACATGGTTGGAGGCGTACCCGCGCCTCGTAGGCAGTACGATCCGTACTCCAACACGTACAATCCGGGTTGGAGAGATCACCCCAACTTCAGCTATGGGAACAGGCTACAGAATTCATTCTCAAATCATCCACCGAGATTTCAGCAACCATGGCAACCCAAGCCTCAACTTTCGCCCTCCAATTCAGGAGGCTCTTTGGAGGATATTGTCAAGAGTCTGGCTACGAGTACTACTCAGCTCCAATAAGAAATTAGGTCCTTGGTCACGAGCACTGCTCAGTTCCAGCAGGAAACCAGATCGGGTATGAAAAATCTGGAGATTCAAATAAGCCATATGGCTACTGCAATTAACCGCTTAGAGTCCCAAGTTTTCGAAAAATTGCCATCACAACCCGAGGCGAATCCGAAAAACGTGAGTGCTACGATACTGAGGAGTGGCAAAGAAGTGGAGGGGCCTAAGACCACGAACCTAAAGAGTAAAAGTGAAGACGAGATCGAGAAGGAGATGGAAGAAGAAGGACGCATTCGTGGAGACCTTTAGGTAACTCTTACTCCATCAATACTCATTAAATCTAATTTACCTCCTTTTCCATGCAGGTTGGAGAAGACGAAGAAGGCTGAGAAAGAAAAGGAGATCCTGGATGTATTTCGAAAAGTGGAGATCAACATCCCCTTGTTGGATGCAATTAAGCAAGTACCAAAGTACGCAAAATTCCTTAAGAATTTATGCACTCATAAGAGGAAGTTGAGAGGGGACGAACGAGTAGCGGTGGGAGAAAACGTATCAGCCATACTCCAAAGAAAACTTCCACCCAAGTGTGGGGATCCAGGTATGTTTACGATCCCTTGCAAAATAGGAGATACACCTATTAGAAAAGCAATGTTAGATTTAGGGGCGTCAATCAACGTGATGTCAAAAACCATTTATGCTTCTCTAAATCTTGGGCTATTAAAAGAAACGGCCATCACAATGCAACTAACTGACCGCATCAATGCTTATCCGGAGGGGCTGATTGAGGATGTTTTGGTTCAGGTAAATGAGTTAGTTTTTCCAGCAGATTTTTATATCCTAGATATGGGAGATGAAAAGTCGTTAAATCCGTCACCTATTTTGTTAGGTAGACCGTTTCTTAGCACTGTTAGGACTAAAATAGATGTGAATGAGGGTATTTTATCAATGAAATTTGATGGTGCAAAAGTAAATTTCAATATTTTTGAGATGATGAAATATCCAGAGAAATCTAACTCAGTCTTTGCTTTGAGTGTTATTGAGCCCATTGTACAAGAAATTTTTGAAATGGATGGTAAAGACGCATTGGAAGTGGCCTTGACCAAGCCTCTTGAATTGGGTGTAGCTCTTAATGTGGATATGAGGGATGAGTTGCACCATGCAGTAGAAGCATTACACTCACTTCCAACCATGCCCCCAAGGTATGAGCTTATTTCTCTTTTTGTGCTAGAAATTCAGACAAAGTTGCTTCTTTCAATTGTGCAGGCACCGGAGTTAGAACTTAAGCCGCTCCCGAAACATCCAAAGTATGCATTCTTGGGAGACCGAGAGACGCTTCCGGGGATCATTTCTGCACACCTATCTCCAAGTTAAGAGGACAGACTGGTGCAACTCCTTAGGGATCATAAGGAGGTGATTGGGTGAAGTATAGCAGATATCAAAGGAATAAGGCTGTTCTTATGCATGCACCAGATAAGGCTCGAGAATGATGCGAAACCGGTGAGACAGGCACAGCGGAGGTTGAATCCCCTGATGATGGAAGTTGAGATACTTAAACTCCTAGAGGTGGGGATTATCTTTACTATCTCGAACAGTCCTTGGGTGAGACCCGTTCAAGTGATTCCGAAAAAAGCGAGAGTGACCGTAGAGGAAAACCAGGAGGGTGAGATGGTTCCAGTCAAGAAAGTTATAGGCTGGCGCCAGTGCATTGACTACCAAAGGCTAAATTCTGTGACGGAAAAGGACCATTTCTCTTTTCCTTTTGTTGACCAAATGATAGAAAGATTGACTAGTCGTATTTACTATTGTTTCTTGGATAATTTTTCAGGATACTTTCAGATCGCGATAGCGTCGGAGGACCAGGAAAAGACTACATTCACCTGCCCATTTGGTACATTTTCTTACCGTCGGATGCCTTTCGGTCTCTATAATGCTCCAGCAACTTTCCAAAGATGTATGGTAAGTATTTTCTCCGAATATGTAGAAAAAATTATTGAGATGTTCATGGATGATTTTAGTGTATACGGGAATAGTTTTGATGAATGTCTTGATAATCTAGCTCTAATTTTGAAAAGATGCATAGAAACGAATTTGGTTCTTAAGTGGAAAAAATGTCACTTCATGGTAGAGTATGGTATTGTCTTAGGGTACGTTGTGTCGGCTAAGGGAATAGAGGTAGACAAAATTAAAATAGATCTTATTTCTGCTCTACTTTACCCCATATGTGTACGGGAAGTACGTTCCTTTTTGGACCATGCAGGGTTCTATAGGAGGTTCATTAAGGATTTCTCAAAAATCGGAGCTCTCCTATTCAAGTTGCTACAAAAGGACGTGCCATTCGATTTCACCGATGAATGCAAGGTGGCTTTTAATAAATTGAAGGAATCGTTGATATCGCCGCCCATCATTCAACCCCCAGATTGGAGCCTGCCGTTTGAAATCATGTGCGACACGAGTGATTATGCCGTAGGAGCCGTGTTGGAGCAAAGGATAGGCAAGGCGGCGCACGCGATCTACTATGCATCGAGAGCATTGAATGGAGCCCAATTTAACTACTCCACGATGGAAAAAGAACTACTAGCCATTGTTTTTGCACTAGAAAAATTTAGGTCATATTTATTGGGTTCAAAGGTAATTGTTTTCTCTGATCATGCAGTCTTGAGGTACTTGTTGGCGAAAAAGGATGCAAAACCAAGGCTCATAAGGTGAATTTTGCTTTTACAAGAGTTCGATGTAAAGATCAAAGATAAGAGTGGAGCCGAGAACTTGGTGGCTGATCATTTGAGCCGTTTGCTCATGAATAAAGAGGATCTGCCATTGAGAGAATCGTTTCCTGAGGAGCACTTGCTAGCCATTGAGTCGTCAGTACCTTGGTATGCTGATATCGGCAATTTTTTGGTAACAAATCAATTACCTACAAGTTGGCCGAAGGCTAAGAGAGATAAATTGAGAAGTGATGCCAAATACTATATTTGGGATGACCCTTACCTGTGGAGGCAGTGCGCGGATCAAGTGATAAGAAGGTGTGTAAGTGCAGGTGTGTTCCACTCTATTCTAACTTTTTGTCATTCATTTGCATGTGGAGGACACTTTGGGCCAAAGTCGACAGCTCGTAAGGTGTTAGAAAATGGTTTTTACTAGCCTACTCTGTTTAAGGATGCATACTTGTTTTGTAAATCTTGTGATAAGTGTCAAACGACGGGAAATATTTCTCGTAGAGACCAAATGAGTCAAACCCCCATGTTATTTGTTGAAATTTTCAATGTCTGGGGTATAGATTTCATGGGTCCCTTCCCCTCGTCTTTTGGTTTCTTGTACATTTTACTTGCTATCGATTATGTTTCCAAATGAATGGAGGCAAAGGCCACCCGAACTAACGATTCGAGAGTGGTTGTAGAATTCATAAAGTCTAATATTTTTGTCCGCTTTGGAATGCCGAGAGCTGTAGTTAGTGACAGGGGCACTCATTTTTGCAATAAGACGGTCACTGCGTTGTTTCGTAAGTATGGCGTGCTCCACAAAGTATCCACTTCCTACCATCCGCAGACGAATGGTCAGGCCAAAGTGTCGAATAAGGAGGTTAAGTCAATCCTAGAGAGGATGGTGCGGCCTGATAGGAAGGATTGGAGTTTGAAGTTGGAAGATGCTCTATGGGCCTACCGCACAGCATATAAAACGGCGATTGAAATGTCCCCATACAGATTAGTCTTTGGGAAGCCGTGCTACCTCCCGGTGGAATTTGAACACAGGGTATTCTGAGCGCTTAAGCGGTGTAACATGGATCTTATGGATGCCGGGAGACATAGAAAGCTCCAATTACAAAAGTTAGAGGAACTAAGGAACGAAGCCTATGAGAACGCAGCAATTTATAAGGAGAACAACAAAATCTTTCACGAGCAACAAGTCTCATGGAAGTCATTTGTAGTAAGGCAAAAAGTCCTCCTTTATCACTCAAGACTTAAGCTTTTCGCCGGTAAGTTGCGTTCGCGTTGAATTGGTCCATTTATTATTTCTAATATTTTTCATTATGGTGCAATGAAAATCCAGAGTTTGAAAACGGAGAAGAAGTTCGTTGTAAATGGTCACCGTCTAAAGCCTTACTATGAGCGGTTCAATAGTGAGCAAGTGGAGGTCATATGTCTTGCTGACCCAAATTGTGTGGCGTAAATAGCTACTACTGTATCTAACCAAAGATACTAAAAAAAGGCGCTGTTTGGGAGGCAACCCAAGAACTACAGTATTAGTTGTTGTCAATTTTTGTTACTTAGCGACTTTGCCGTTTGTGCAAGGCAAATAAATCTAGGGTCGCAAGTATTGTTAGAGTAGAATTTGTATGGTGCTGTTTCTGTGCATCTGGAACAAAAAAGGGAGAAATCGTCAATAAGCTGGTGATCAGAAGACTCTGTCTTACAGGGCGTGCCCACGTCTTGTAAGATGTTCCCTTTTAAAAAAAAAAAAAGAGAGAAGCTCGTGAACAGAAGACTCCGGCCTACAAGCCGTGCCCACGCCTTGCAAGCTGCCTATTCTTAGAAAAAAAAAAAAATTGGCGACACTTGCACAGTGAGAATAGCAAATGGAAACGCCTTACTTGTGAAATTTTCCCGGGAAAGCGTGAGATTATGTAGTAAATATCGGACATTCTCTTGACACATTACACTCTATCTTTACCTTCTTATCCCGCCTTTCACCCAAGCCCCGTTACAACCCTATTAAAGTCCTTTTGATCTTTGTATTTAGTTCACTTTTGAGTGGTGGAGATGTGATAAATGTGCAAGCCTATGGTAATGTTATTTTGTGATGTTAATTTGAGCGTTCCTTGTATTCATACATTCTCTTGTAGGTGACGAATATTCCTGTTCATACTCTTTGGATAACTACCTGTCCGGCGTGTTCTAACTTTGGCGACGTTGTCAGGAATGCGGGATGCTTGTGTTAGTGTAGATTACTGCATGACCTTTGCCTTCTTGATTGTATTTTTGAGCTTCACAATGATTGAGGACAAGCATCGTCTAGGTGTGGGGGGATTTGATAGAGCAATTGTTGGGCACCATTTGCGATGTTATTCGGTCATAATTTTGGTTACTTACTGTGCTAATTATTGAGATTTTGCTCATATTTGATATTTGTGTAAATTGCAGGCGGTTGGTGTTAAAAGTGGTATCTTGGGGAGAATTTCTGGAAGACTTTTCATCTCAGGGCCTGCCCACGCCAGAAACTATAGACGGATACCCAAAAGCCGGACTCGCGGGATTGGTAGCAGTAGGGACAATTAGGAAGTCAGGTCCACGTGAACCGCGGAGATGCATGGGATTAAAACCCCTAGACAAGTCTTGCTCGACGTTTCTTTGCTTCTGTTGGCGGCGGCTACTGGGAAGATATAAAAAGGAAAAGCCAGATTCACGTAAAATCAATAGATAGATTAGCTTGAGTTCCTTTTTCCCATCTGTCAGACGTTGGAGACCTCTCTCTAGCTTTTAGCTTTGTACGATTTTGACTCCTTGGTTTTTACTCTTGCTCTGGACAATTTTTCGTTAACTTTTGTTTTGTAATTTCGGCTCCAGTACGGAGACGAAACCCAAAAGGAGACAACGCCTTTTCGCCTACCTCCTCGTTATTTCTCCTTTTCGCAACCTTTTGGTAATTAATTGGATGATATCAACTAAATCATGCGAGATTGATATGATGAGGAGCGGCTAGATTTCTTCTTTACCCAAAGATCGACGCGGAGGCGCGGTCCATAATATCTGTGAGATCTAATCAAACTTTCATTATTTCTTCCAATTCGTTACTATTCGTGCGTTTTCTGGATTAATTGTGCATGGGTATTTTATTAATTGAGTATCAACGGTCGGATATTTAATTTAATTTAATAGTCTACTGTCACGTTAATTAAATTGAATCAATAATTGTTCGTTTAGTTAACAACTGGTGACAACCACCATAATTCGCTTTGTGTTGGGGAAACGTAAGATTTAATTTAAATAAACCCTCTTAGCGTGTTTATTGGTTAGGGTTGGATTTTTCTAGCTTTAATGCAACTGGATAATTAAATTCCTACGGTCGTACCTAGGGTTATTTTCTGGTTAGAGAAGCAGTCAACGGTCGTACCTTGGCTGTCGAAAAAGTAAGGAAAAACTGGCTGTCAGAGCTTGTTGATAGCTATAACCAACCTAGTGACGAATGAATGAAATATCTTTGCATCGATGACCATTTAATTGGACCGTGCCTGAAAAGTTGATCCTTTGGGTAAAATTTTATTAATTGCTATTTTTAGTAAATTGTACTTGTTGAGTTAGCTTTTGAATTTTGTTTATTTTATTTTCATCTTCATTCCCTTAAATATCCCCCAATTTTGTTCTTTTGACTTGGAAAGA